CGCAGAAAGAAATGGAAAACTACTGCGTGAAAAAAAATCTGTCTCGGTCATGTATCAAAAGATACATGATCGCCTACGCGTGTATCACGCAAGGCACATAACTGACTGATCTAGTGCCGTCTTAATTTTCTTCTTTTATTGCTCTCTCTCTCTCTCTCTCTCTCTCTCTCTTGTTAATAGTGTTTTGTCTTGTATTTACTATCAGGTTGGTGCAAAAATAATGTCGTTTTCTCTTTTGAAGTTGTACTTAAAAAACGACATTAGTTTTGCACCAACCTAATAACACTCAGTAACCCATTGTTTCATAGCGGTTTTATTGACTTGTTTTAAAGGCTTTAGTGTAATGCCGCATGGAATGATGAATAATGGAAAAATTTGCTCCTCCGACATGTAAACATTAACATTCTTCTTTTTATGCTCGCCACCAACCTTTATCCCTTGCAGCTCTCAACAAGTTCCTTCCCTCTGCTTCCATCCCCCAGACCACGTTCTGTCATCCACCTGCTCGCCAGGTATGTCACTCGCCGCTTTCCCTTGTCTCTCTTTCCCTCTATTCGACCCGTGAGTATCAGATTCTCCAGTCCCTCCTTCCTCATTATGTGTCCCAGAAATTTCAGATGCCTCTTCGTAATGTTACGTATAAGCTTCATCCTTGTTTGCAATCTCTCAAAGACCGCATCGTTGCTCACATGCTCGGTCCATGATATACTTAGCATCTTTCTGTAGAACCATATCTCTGTCGCTTTGAGTAGCTTATTCGTCCCAAAGAGGGTGAGTTCAATACCCGGTTAAGGCAGTGGAGAACTTTCGGAGGGAAATTAACACGGGATAACTGATAACTGACATCCATCAAACATGGCACGTGGAACTAGAACAGTCTACCCCAGTGAGCGAAATAAAGGGTTCAGTTCGACATTCTAAACACCTGAAGAAGGTCGGAGCGTACAACGGCCGAAACGTTGTGATAAATATGGCGACAAAGATGAGGACAATAGTCCGAATAATTTAAATAATGCTATACAAAAATACCGAAATATTTGCTTAGATCCCGAGACAGAGTAACTAGCTTCTTAGGCGTCAAAGCAGGGATCCGTCGGGTTGACACACTTGCAGCTATTCTCTATGTTATCAATCTTGACTAAGTATTGAGAAGTTCACTCGACAGACATCATTATCTAGGCTTTACATTATCACCAACACGTTTAAGTCGATATCCTGAAAAAGTTGAACTGAATTTATAGGATTCAACTATCAAGGCTTAATACAAAATGTCTGAGGTCAATCAATAAAATTTGTCGAATCTTTTACATATCTAGGAAGCGAAATAAATTCTACTGAAATAAATTCTACGAGACTGCCTCGAAAAAAACGGATGTTTGTAAATCTGACCTACCAGACAACCACAAACGGAGATTGTTTTGAGCTACTATCGTGGCTGTTTTCCTGTATGGTCCCACTGTTTGGACATTAACTAAAATCCTAGAGTCTACAGTCGGATGCTTAGAGCAATATTTAATTTCTCTTGGAGACAGCATCCAACTAAATCACAGCTCTAAGGACCCATCTCTGACATTTCTACAATCTTATGCAAAAGCAGAATGTGCTTTGCCGGCGATTAAAATAAAAACTTGCGATTGATCTACTGCTCTGGAGACCTAACCGTGAGGCAAGAAGGGTTGGTCGCCCAACAACTACCTACATTGACCAACTATTTTATGACTCAAAATGCCTCCCTAATGACCTAGCGACCTTCACGTGGGACCGTGATAGATGGTGTTATACGATAGACTGAGGAATGTCAGAGCGAGGTCGACCGAATAAATATATTCTCGAAATAATCTTAGCGCAATGTTGTTGGCCATACCAGAGTTTTAGGCGATTCATTCTACACCGTAAATATACATCCGGCAAGATTTATTTTCTTTTATTTGTCAATTCAGCTCTTCATAACAACCTATCATTTGTAGGCCAATTAATAGTTATCTCTTCATTATAGCTCCTATCCCCTGTTTTGACATCCATTAAGATAAGTAACTCGTTGTTTACATCGGAATGTAGTTGGTCATGGCTCTCCACAGATTTCTTTTTCTTTATTATCTATGAAATTCTTGGGAAACATTGTTCACTGTTTCTCCTTTTTCCTTCTGTGTCAGCTCTGGATCCCCACACTACTACATAAAACTGTAACAATGAAAAGATTCATTTATTTTATTAAATGTGGCTGCTTGGATTCTAGGAGGCAGTGAGAGGAATGACGTCACAGGAACGCATGTTGCACAGTGGCTCAGCGTCCCTCCACGTGTGGTAATAGCCAGTCCTAAACCTGGTGTTGGGATGCATATCGTCGCTTCAGAATTTTTGAGACCCTCTGTTGAATTTGCGCCATTTTGGACTTTTATTCAAAATCCAGAGAAAGGCAATCCCTAACTGTCAGGATAACCTGACAATGACGTATTCTGGTTAATCGCTGACCATTCTGGCCCTGGCTTTCGTATTCTGTAACATTTCTCCACAAGTGAATTCATAGTTGTTTTTATATACTGCCTGTTGTTAGAGAGCCAAGATACAGTCAGATATGTGTCATGTGGGATACACACGTAGGCGATCATGTGTTTTTTGATACATGACTGACGAGGCAGATTTTTTCAGCAGTAGGTTGCCATTTCTTTCTGCAGTTGCCATCCGTCTATAGAAACATAGCTGGGCGCGGGGAAAAAAGCGATGGAAGAAAAAGATTCATATCTTTCCCAAGGGTATTAACACGTAAGTGAATGTAATGGATCTGGCTGGAATTCGAACTCGGCCCTCAGGTTTTTAAATCCAAGCCACTATCCATAACACAACCGTGCCTCCGAGCCCCAAAACCCAGTTAATGAATACTTAATTGGAAATAGAACAGATAGATTCATGCCTTTCGTAATGCAGTTATAGTGCAAGTGAGTGTAGCTGACTCGGCTTGAATTTGAATGCCGACTCCACTTTCTTCGCCTGTAACCGTTACGTTGCAGCCACATCATTTTCAGCCATTTACACAAGTTCATTAGGTATTAGTTCTATTCTGTGAGTTTCAAATTTTCAAGCGTTCATTATGTGTCCTAGAAATTTCAGCTGTCTGTTTCTAATTCTAAATGTCTTTTTTCTTTCCATTTCCCTTTGATATAAGAGGAACTGCGCCTTCGATTATTCATCTTTTCAGGTAATATCATAGCGAAAGCCTTAAAACTACGAGATAAAACCCTTGTGTTCTTGTAGCATTATCGCCCTGCTTGGAGTGAAATGATTGAAAAAAATGGCGCTAGAATCATTTGCTTCGCATTCTTATGCATTTCTAGAAATCACAATTCACTCGTACGAATATGACATTTTCATTTCTCTTTCGTTGACATGCTACCAAACGGGTTCATTTTACAACCTACTTTATGAGCGTAAACAGAAAGAAGGACAAAGTTTTCACTTTTTTGTATAACGATCGTTATGATTGATGTTATATCAACCGGGTCAGTTTAGCGCGGCTTCGTTTTCATTCCTCAACGGAGACAGATTTGGGAAACACACCTTTGCTTGAATTACATGAATGTCACTGAATACATTCGTATGTGTATATACTTTCCTGGAACAAGCCGATCCAGATTGGATTGCTTCATTTACAGTCTGTTCTTTATCTTTTTCTCTAAAATAATAAATAATTTAATGCAATTAATTATATACACCAAGATGACTAAAGAAAAGGTGATAACGTATCAGTAGCATAAATGTGTTCAGTTTTTGTAGAAACGTTTGAAATCTGTATTCAGTTAGTTGTTAGTTTGGTATAAAAATATTTCATGTAATTCAAAGAAGGAAATTATCATATTCTCTAGTCCTTGCAAATTTAACGATACACTGCAACTTATGAAAAAAATTCCTGCTAGTGTCTTTATATACAACTTAATTAATACAAACTTTTTACTTTGTTTACACAGTACACTTTTTAGTTTTCGCATTCTATTCAGTATTTCTTCTCCTCTTGATTATCTCCCTTTTCTCCTATTCCTGATTACCTTCCTTGGATTTGTTTTTTTTTCGACAATCATTTTTCTTTACCGTATATATTTGTGTATAAGTCTACTTAATATATAGAGCGACCCCTGATATTTTTTGTGAAAAGCTGATATTATTTTTCATATAGCTCGTGTTTATACACGAGCTATATGAAAACCCCTCCTTCTGAGCAATACTAGTAGCCCTACCGTACTCAAATATTGCCGTCCTGAGCATCGCCCTGGACATATTTTATAGCAAACAAATAGTCTTAATTCTTTTCTGTACAACGCTACTCCAAAATTGCAAGAAAAACGACTTATCGTAAAATATCTGATCAGATGATTTATATAAAGTACTTTTTTTCGTTCATGTCGGACTACGGTAGCTCCTTTACCCTGAGCCTGAGTTTCTTTCCTTTTGTTGCTACATGAAGAGCAAAACCTTATCGACTCGTATACCACTTAAAATAAACAAATACCTTATATAAATGAATATTTAATCGATTTTTCCCTAACTCATATTTAAATTCATGATTGTTTTGCAGATGTTTATATCACTCCGGTATTGCCTTTCCAAGGACAACATTTTTCTCAGGACTAGCAGTAGAAAATTAAGCTTACCTGTACCGTTTATTTTCACCAAATTTAGCCTGATAATGCAGGCCTACCAGGTACCTTACGGATACTGAAAATGCATGAACTGTAACCACCCCAGAAAAGATTACTTGTGCATAGTTCAACCGGTCACGGAAAATGCATGATTTTTAACCTCTTCAATAAAAAATTACCTGTGTATAGTGTGAACCCTTATTGCTTGACTAAAAAATAAGTTCGTACTATACTTGGATATATACCATACTTGTTCTCCATTACAGCCAACAGCAGCAGCATCAAGTAAAATATATTTATTTTATTATTTAGTAAGTTGTAATTACTCTATCTTTTCTTCATTTTTAGGGGATACTCTTTTCTTCAGTAATGATTTCAATTTTCCTTCACTTTCTCAGTATTTCATTCTCGGTATTTATTTTTGTTATACTAAAACATACCTATTCTATTATTAATAGACTCTCCCACATATAATAAGTAGTAGTAGTAGCAGTCGCCAGAGAGAGCTCAGTGAGTTGGTCTGAGTTCAGTCTGAAGTCGGACGACCGGCTGACCGGTTGAACTCTCTGCCTTCGGGCGGGGAGGAACCCGAACGAGGCTACGCCGAAGGACGGAGTCTCTTTCGGGGAGGTCAACCGACCCTGAACCTGTTTATACGTGTTTTAAAAGGGTATATTTTTGGCCGAGCCCACGGGCTCGGAGATACCACGTTAAAGCGGCCTTGTGCCACATGATGCCCTCGTGGTGGCGGGGTGACTGAATATCGCTCAGTGAGTTGGTGAGTCAGTCGATGTCGGACATTAAAGTATCAACCACCACAACTATATTGCCGCGTCATTAACTATTATTTCAAGTTCCTAACATTTTGTACGTCGAACCTTTTTTTAGGACAGACTTGAAATACAAGCCTCCACTGTGAAGACTACTCTACAACACAATATCAGTCTTCATTTTCCTTCACTTCATCAGTATTTCTTTCTAGGTATTTCTTTACATTAGCATTTTTCTTCTCTTTGTCAGTATTGCGTTCTCAATATTTTTTTCACATTTTCTTATTGTTCTCTGTTCCTTCTCACCATTCATTATTTTTTCCTCTCTGGTTAATTCTTAATTTCAAGGTTATTTTTCTATCATTTCTGTATCGTTCATTATCTTTCTTTATTTTCCCTCTTTTAAAAAAAAAATTCGCTGTTTTATCCATTTTAATGTTCACCTTTTATTAATTCTATTTAACACGCTCTGTTTGATATCTACGGTTTTACTTAGTTCATTTCTTCTTAATCTCTTTCCCGACCTCAATTGTTTTCTATTCATTCTTCACCCCACCACCCACTTTCTTCTTTTTTGTCCTTTTTTATTTAACGTTATCATTATTCGATTTCCATATCCTTATATATTCTTTTCCTAACTTTATACTTAATCGTTCCCAGCACCATTTTTTCTTACAGGATATTTTTCTTCTAATTTAGGTCGGAATTTTGAGATGAGAAATTAGGTCCGGCGGGTACAACGGCCAAAACATTACGACTATAACAGATAAATGAGGATATACATCCGAAAGGGAAGGTACAAACAGGAATCTTTTTTTTTTGTTGTTTTCACCCGCTTTTTTTTTTTAGCCTGTATCTCAAATTTTCCCCATTCTAAATCTTTTAATTTTTGCCATTTTCTTTCAGCCATTTTTAAAAATTTATTCGTTACTCTGTAACCTCTCTTTTACCTATCCTCTATTTTCTGCCTTCCTTACACTTCTCTCCTATCTTGTCATATTCAAACCGCTTTCAATCTCCCCCTCCTTCCAAAATTACCTCCTCAGTCCAATCTTATCATTTCCTTTTAAGGCCTCTTCTGTCCATCGCTTACCTCTTTTAACCAAATCGCTTTCATTCTCCAGTTCTTTCTTCTTCTTTTTTTTTTTTGTCGTCTATTTTCCTGGGGTGCTGTTTTTCTCTTTCAAGGTCTTCCTCATTGTACAATATTGCTTCCTAAAGAAGTCACAAAGAAAAGGTTAAGAAAAAAAAAATGAACAAGATGGTTTGCCGAATTCTATTGAATTGCAAGTCTAATTAAATAAGAAATCACTGAAGAGCATATCTACAACTACCTTCTTCCGTAGCCCCCACAACCCAGCAAGCTCATATCGACTAAACAGCACTCTACTGTTTCATCTCAAGTCCCACTCCATGCCATCGCCGCCTCGTTGCCCTTGGCTGATGGAAGAGGGGACCTTTATTGGAAGGAGAAGCAGAAGTAAAGAGATGGAGGCAAGGTTAGGCTTTATTTTATTGAGAAAAAAAAAAGACAGGGCGTATTATGCTTGAATTCGTCTCTCCGCATCAGAAAATCGCAACAATGATGGAGGGGCACGTAACTTGTAAAATAAAAAAATAAAATAAAACGAAAATAAGTGAATAATGCTTCAAGAGACAAAAAGGGCAGTCACAACACCGGACAGCCACACACACACACACACACACACACACACACACACACACACACACACACTCTCACCTCTACGTGCGAACACAGCTATTTATTTTGAATTACATGAAGCTGGATATATATCAACGAAATATGCTACAAATTCGTCCGCTGATTTTTTTTTTTTTAATATATTAAGATATTTAAAACAAAGCAAGACAACAGAGGAAGGAAAGTGTGACACTGAAATCTAAGGTGTATTGGGAAATCCAAGGAAACATTCCAAAGGTTAAGCAGAGTCTGTCTATATTTCTTAGATGAGGTATTATGTACATTATTTACATTATTCGGACTAATGTCCTCATCATTGTCGCCATATTTATCACAACGTTTCGGCCGTTGTACGCTCTGACCTTCTTCATGTGGTTGGAATTTCGAACTGAAACCTTTATTTCGCTCACTGGGGTAGACTGTTCTAGTTCCACGTCCCATGTTTTTGATGGATGTCATTTATCCGTTATCTCCTGCTAATTTCCCTCTGAAGGCGTTGGTTAGATCCAGTGACGGGACACAAAAAGTGTGAATTCAATACCCGGTTAAGACAGTGGAGAACTTTCAAAGGGAAATTAACAGGAGATAACTGATAACTGACATCCATCAACGTGTAACTAGAACAGTCTACCCCAGTGAGCGAAATAAAGGGTTCCGTTCGAAATTCCAACCACCTGAAGAAGGCCTGAGCGTACAACGGCCGAAACGTTGTGATAAATATGGCGACAAAGATTAGGACATTAGTCCGAATGATTTAAATAATGTTAAGCTGAGTACAAAGAAATAGAAAACACTTCACTGGAAACAAGAAAAAAGAAACAAATTAAACTAGTACTAAAGAGTGATATCTGTCCTTTAAGGCATTGGTTGCTAGGCAATCTCCCCAAACATGAAGTGATTTTTAGCAACAGAAATATTGCTCTAACGAAGGATACTGAGTATACCACAGCTCGAACTTGTGAGTAACGATGAAGCTTTAGAGAAGATGAAAACAAAAAATAAAACATACTTAACATCACGAAGAGACAGTTGAGGTTTCTACGACATATAATGAGGAAAGAGGGTTTAGAAAATCTGATACTTACAGGACAGCTTGAAGGCAAGAGAGACAAAAGAAAAGAACGCCTAACCTAACAAGTAAATTCATGGTGGAACAAGATTTAGGAGAAATAACAGAAATACATTTATTAAAAGGTAAAAGGGACAAAAAGTTGCGAAGATCCATGTCTACTTACGTACTGAGGAGGAACGGCACATAAAAAAGAAGAAGAATTATAAAAAGAAAGAGGAAGACTTTTTTTATTTTGCTGGGAATTTATTTTAAGTAAAACAATATGAATGAGTGGTTAGGGCATTCGCTTCGCGATCGCGAGCCCCGAGTTCGAATCTCACTTCGATTTGTCAGACAGATGATTTCTTGAAGGGTTGGCAAGAAAATCATAAAAACCTAGTCTGTTGAGTGTGATAGCATGAAGTCACATGTCCTTGCTAATGATTGTTTGTTGAACTGACTCAGAGGAAGCACGCATACTCAGAACGCGTGAAGAACTCACCATATTTACCGTATAAACAACCGGTGGACTCTGGAGGTGCTGAACAAACACAAATTTGCCTGAGATGAGGTCTGCAAGATACGCCTCTCATCAGTACAATAAGATTATATAATTTTACATCATGGTTTCTATCGTCATAATATTATGATATATATTTAAAACAATCATTTCAAAGGAAACGTAATACTATGTAAAGATGTGTCAAGTCGTTCTAGGAATGTAACTCAACACTATTTGCCAGGCCTTTCTGCCAAAGAGTGTGGTTACACATCGGACATAATAAAAATCAAGACTTCTTACAACCACACAAATTACCTTTAATGAATAAAGTTTGTTATTTCGAGTGAATAGTGCATGAACAATTTTGACGATTTAGCAATAACTTTCCAAGTCCTACTATTAAGCCATCATCATTATCGTCCTTCGACCTCTCTATGTTTGGTCGGGACTCCACTGACAATTCCTTTCCACACAATTCGGTTCTGTATACTTTCAACCACAGATAAAATGCAGTATTGGTAATAAAATATATTGTTATAAAATATTTTTTTGGTAATTTTACTATAAAAAAAAGTATGTATATACTTTCGAAGTGATATTTTCCATGTTGGGAGAGGTTCAATATTTAACCATAGCTGGGGTCCCAACAGATGCCTGTACCCAAGGTCAAGGTGAACTTAGGAACACACAACAATTTAGAGCTGGTTTTACTCTTCTCAAAACCTTCAGTTTCCCGATCAGACACATGGCTACCGGATGTAGATTATCATAACACACACACACACACACACACACACACACACACACACACACACACACACACACATATATATATATATATATATATATACAGAGGGTGTATCAATAATAATTTTACAAACAAAGGGGGCGAGTTCCTCACACCAGAGCAAAGACAAAAGCCCATGTATTCATATGTCTGAAAACACTTTCTTTTTGAGTTATTAAGTTTAGAGAAATTTTACAGTAGATGCTGTGTTGCCATGAAGATTACCTTACATTCAAGTGCATTTGTGGCTCGTCTGTTTTCAACGGTTAACTTGTGTAGTAATGAGTTAACTGAGAAGTGTTACGTTTGACAATGTCAAGATATTCACATCGTGAGCCGACAGATATGTTTTTTTACATAATGCCGTTCGAATGGTAATGGACGCCAAGTTGAACGGCATATCAGACTGCACCTCCAAATCGAAGGCAGCTGGATCCTCCAACCTTTGTTCCTGCTATCGTTGCGTTGCTGTTTAGGATTCGTGGCATTACAGATTATTTGATCAAGAAAGACCGAGATCTGCTCGTACACCTGGCCAGGAAGAACACATTCTACAGCGTGTCGGTGACTATCCAAGTATCAGCACACGTCAAGTGGATCTAGCCTGTTATGCAATTCATAATAATGCATAGATAGTATTTCAAGGGCAGCTCCTGTATCCGTATCATTTGCAACGTGTGCAAGGTATTTCACCTTCTGGTCACTCACCACGGGAGAGCGTTTGCCGATGGTTTATTGCATAAACTATTGATCCGTCCTTTGTCTCTTCAGTCTTCTTTACGGATGAGGCAACATTTGGAAGAGATGGAATAACAAAAAATTACATAAGCAATATTTGATGGCGTATCGGAAACCCCCATGACACAATTCAGGCTAGGCACCAACATGAGTTCATGATGTATCGGTTTTAATTGTAGGTGACTGTCAGGTAGGTCCCTATTTTTTTTCAACGCGTTCCACAGAAGCTGTCTACAGAGACTTTATTTTGAACACACTTCCAGACTTACTAGATATTGTATCCCTACTAATAGGAAGGCGCATGTTGTTCGTGCACGATGGGGCTGCAGCACATTTTAGTCACTATGTTCGCGATGCACTGGCTGACATCTACCATGAAAAATGGATAGATAGGGCAGATCCAGTTCCATGCACTGCACGTCCCACCGAACTCAGTCCTTTGGAATTTTATCTGTGGAACCACCTAAAACAAGTGGGTTATGCCGCAGACATTAATACTGCAGAGGTGCTTCATTAATGTGTCATGAGGCCTGCAAAACCATTGGACACCGTGTGGGAATATTTGAAAGGGGAACCAGTCAATGATCCGACGCGTGTATGCTTGTGTAGAAGCAAGCAGATGACATTTTTAATATTTGTCATGAATTGCTATGTTGAGGTGCAACGATGCCCTTTTGTAGATATGTTTATATGGACATTTTACCTTGTTTTAGTGTCAGGAGCCGGCCCCCAATATTTGTAAATATATTTTTGATGCAACATCTATATATATATATATATATATATATATATATATATATATATATATATATATATATATAGTTTTATGAAAAACTAGGTAATCCGTATGGGTAAACCTAAGGAGGATAAAATCCAGAGAGCTCAATTTAAATCCAGAGCAAATAGTTTAAATAAAAACAGACCACTTTAAGGTTCCATGTAATAAATTATTTCACCACAGCCCTTTTAAAGGAGTGCGAATCATCAGACTTTAAAAAGATAAAATGTACTGCTGACCATATTGCTATAACATGTATTACTGGTATTTCTTCTGTTACAAAAATGTATTTCTTCACTATCATGGTATTTTGTCTTTGTTTGGAGGTTCACTATTTGCCAATAGCTTGGACCCTAACAGGTGTTGCTACCCATGGTAAGGTTGGATGTGGGAACAACAGAAATTAAGTAGTTGTTCCACGGCACTAATAATTCTCAACTTGTTCCGATCAGAGCCCTTGCTGCCGAATGTAGTTTATCGCCATACCTAGGACTAATATGTATATGTAAATATTTATGTATATAGTAACTTGTCATTGAACTCCAGTAGGTATGTGATCTAAAAGAAAATTGCTTTGTTTTTACCACCTAAATTAAAGAAAAGTATAAGGAAATAAAGTTACATAACGGACCGTGAGCAACACAAGCCGTGATAAACATATATTTTATTGCGGACCATTTGTAT